CTTCTCCAGCCCAGACTTCACATGCACACAGCATGACAGCAGTAGACTGCAACTCCAAATATAGATTTTAAATTCTATTCACTGCCTTCTAATTATATGGGAGCTATTTTGGTAACAGTTATGTATATTTCTTCACGACAGTTAAAAGCAACACTTTTGCTTAAGGTTCTATGGATGTGCCTGGCCTACAGCAGCACCTCAGCTTTAGCATTCATCTCACATTAGACTCCACCTGGATCAAGCAGTCCTGACTTCTCAGCATTTGTGTTCAGTGCTGACCCACAGTGGTGCAACTGTTCTGACAGTTCTGCTGATCCATGATGAAGCAAAAATACAAATGTATTCCTGCTGTAACAGTCCTGCAGTGCTATGAGAGAATATTTTTATGATTTTTAATTGTTAGTTTATTAAATGTTACATGAAATCCAAGAGGAAATAGTAAGAAGTTGGCCACACATTTTCCATGGCTCATGTAATTTACAGTAGATCTATGCCAGCTTAAGAGATCAGTCTGTTTCACATACCAGCTTCAATAATTCCAAGTTGATTAAGTAAATGCCTAATTCCAATTGTCCAAACCTGAACTGAAATTAAAGTCTCTCCCACTTACCCCCACAACACAGCTGCCCTAAATATAAGCAGATATTCCAGCTGCCCTTTAAATAATTAAGATCCCAAGATCATGATGGTTGATCCAAATATGGCAGAGAAGAAAAAGAAGTAGAAATTTTATATTTCAATCAAAATTTGTCAAGATATTAGAATCAATCCAGTGAAAATAACTCTCCAAGCCCAGAGCAGGGTACAAGTGCTATTTTCCAAACTGCAAATATAATATGACCAATAAGGAGTCAGATGGTCAATTTACAGGTTTTGTAGTACCACACTAAAAATACATAAAAATGTTCCCCCTTTCTTTAAAAAATGCTCGTTATAGCCACACTATTAGGGCTAACTGACACTGCACAGACAGGTTCCTCCAAAACACTACCAAAGACACCCATAACTTCAGGTAAAAACACTCGGGTGCCTTTCCTACACCTGGCAGACCTGGATGAGCCAGCTGGAAAGGACGGGGAGGTGGGGAGGAAGAATAAGAAGCATTCAACACAAGCAGCACCGTTAAGCCTTCCCTCCGGCGTCAGCCCTCAGACACAGCCCAACCTAGCAGCCCCTTCCCCGGGTCCCATCCGACCCCCCGAGCACATCGTTCCATGAAGAGAGATACATACCGATCCGCCTGGGCCCAGGACATACACACATTCTCCTGTCACAACATGAAGCCGCCAACATCCACAAAGCAGAAGCCCGGGGGGCGGGGGGAGAAGCAAGGCAGAGTTTGTTAGAGAAGACGTAGAGCTCCGGCACGGAGGTGGGACGGCAGACAGGAGGAGACACGCACACACAGCCCTTCCGCGGGCACACGGCGCCGCTGCTGCCGCTCAGCCAGCGATGGGACTGAGCCAGCTCCGCAGGGACCGCCCGAACCCGCCGCCCGCCCGGGCAACAAGCCCCGCCGGCCCAGCTCTCCCTTCCGGCAAGGGCGAGGGGCTGGGCCCGCTCTCGCGGCGGAC